ATTGCGGCTTACCAATTCTTAGATCTGATGGCTGCATTAGTTTTCTTTTTGTAGGTTTTTTTAATTTTCATCTGGTGATCCAGCCAGTAAGTCTGTTGTTTTTCAAAAGAAAAAAAAGCTCTTTTCTAAATGTATCGGTCTAAAGGGATGAGGCAAACCATTTACCACTGACAGGGGTGATTACGATGATTAGCTTTTATTTATTCATGTAAAACCTTTATACCAAAAGGAAAAAAACACAGTTTGCTATAACTGATTATTAAGTATTATTTTGGATTCAGTTTGGTAGTGTATATAAATCTGCTAGTACATATAACAGTCCCCTCCCCCCCCCCAGACTGACAATGCTGCTGTCCAAATGTGTCCCTGTGCTCCTTCATCCAGAGTGGAGGCACTCTAATACAGGAGTTGTGTTACTGGCCAGATTACTATGTGGAAACAGAGGGAAACAGCCTAAAAAAAGTTTACTAATGCAGCCACTACACCTAATGATTGGTAAGCTGCAATATAGTACATTTTGGTTTTGAGTTTAATACCGCTTTAACTTAATTTCTAATAAGCATGTAATGATACTTTCATCCTTTCTGTCCAGGGTGGGAAGCTATACAATGCTGTTTTTTAACCACTTCCCGTCTGGCCCATGTATATAAACGGCCGGGCAGGAGCATTGCAGGAGCGGGTGGCCGTTTATAAACGTCCTGCCCGCTTCCCGCCTGTGTGCACTCCCTGGGATTGGAACACCGATTGCTGTACGGGACCTCTGTGTGAGGTCCTGATCATGTGATCTCTGTTTGGCCAATCAGTGATCACATGAATATTAGTTAGCAAGATGTCACTTTTGACATCATTGCTTACTACTAGTGAAATCTATGAAATCTGAAGTCAGAGAGGAGAAATTATTGCTTTTACAGCCTTTATGGGTGTAAAATCAATCAATATAAAAAAAAAAATCTTTATCACCTCCCGCAAGCAGTACAATGTCACTATGGTGACACTGTACTGCTAGGGTGACAGAATGTAAACAAAAACCATAAATAATAATTTAAAAAAATAAAATAAAAATGTCAAAAAAAGTTTGAAAAATTACAATTTTTGGTTATAAACTAATTTGGGTTATTTCTTTTTTTTTTTACTAAAAAGATAGCTGAATACATTTTGGCCAACATTTATGAAGAAAGATTATTTATTTGCAAAATTTTATAAGAAAAACACTTTTTTTTAAATGTTTGAAATTTTTCATTTATATAGCAAAAAAATAAAAATCCCAGTGGTGAATAAATACCACCAAAATAAAGTTTTATCTGTCTCAAAAAAATGCTAAAAAATTCACATGGGTACAGTGTTGCATGACCGCGCAATTGTCATTCAAAGTGTGATAACACTGAAAGCTGAATATTGGCCTGGGCAGGAAGGGGTGAAAGTGTCCGGACTTGAAGTGGTTAAAGGCTGACCAGAGTTCCCCTTGACTCTGGGTTCACACCTAACCATTTTATGCAGCTTTTTGCAGAAACGCAGTACAGTTCATTTAACATGATTTCCTATGTGACATGTTCACACCTGTGCGTTTTCACCCGGTTCAATTTATTGGAAAGCGTCAGGGACTTTTTTGAATGCAAAAAGTTGCGTTTTTGGTTCTATAGACTTCAATAGAAATGCTGAAGAATAGCATTTATTGCGTTTTTGCTGCGTTTTGATGGTTTGTTATGCGTTTTGCATTTTACATCTGCCTAGCAAGAGGACAAATTTGAAGAAAAAAAAAGCGAAATGCATCCAAAACGCAAGTGCAAAAATGCAATGCAAAACGCGATGCAGAAGCGGCTCAAATGCAACCTGCATAGGTGTTAACTAGAGATGAGCGAATTTTTCAAAAATTCGATTCGGCTGATTCGGCGAATTCCAGGAAGAAATTCGATTCGATGCGAATTAATTCGCTACGAAGTTAACTTATAAAAAGGGTTTCTAGGCTTCAGAGAGCCTTTAAATTAGTGCAGAACACTGTACCTTTAATTTAAATGCCCTTGGAGATGAGGAAGGAGAAGGAGAAGGAGAAGGAGAAGGATGAGAAGAAGGAGAAGGAGAAGGATGGGAAGAAGGAGAAGGATGAGAAGAAGGAGAAGGAGAAGGAGGAGAAGGAGAAGGATGAGAAGAAGGAGAAGGATGAGAAGAAGGAGAAGGATGAGAAGAAGGAGAAGGAGAAGGAGGAGAAGGAGAAGGATGAGAAGAAGGAGAAGGATGAGAAGAAGGAGAAGGAGAAGGATGAGAAGAAGGAGAAGGATGAGAAGAAGGATGAGAAGAAGGATGAGAAGAAGGAGAAGGAGAAGGAGAAGGAGAAGGAGAAGGAGGAGAAGGAGAAGGATGAAGAAGGATGAGAAGAAGGAGAAGGATGAGAAGAAGGATGAGAAGAAGGAGAAGGATGAGAAGAAGGAGAAGGATGAGAAGAAGGAGAAGGATGAGAAGAAGGATGAGAAGAAGGAGAAGGATGAGAAGAAGGACAGTTCTGTGACAGTTTCTGTCTATTTCTGACAGTTCTGTGACATTCACTCCATACAGCGGTTTCAACCGCTGTATGGAGGGAATGTCCCAGAACTGTCAGAAATAGTCTATTTCTGACAGTTCTGGGACATTCACTCCATACAGCGGTTGAAACATTGTATCTATTTGTTTCCATAAATGACATTCTGCAGATACACTTAGAGGAGCTCTGCAGATACACTTTTTGCCGGCTTGGAATTATTCTTATTTTCATCCTACTTCTTCTTCTTCATCCTCATCCTCTTCTTCTTCTGAGGATGAGGATGAGGATGAAGAAGAAGAAGAAGTAGGATGAAAATAAGATTAATTCCAAGCCGGCAAAAATATGTGCAGAGCTCCTCTAAGTGTATCTGCAAGCTCCTCTAAGTGTATCTGCAGAATAGAGGAACTCTGCACATACACTTTTTTGCCGGCTTGGAATTATTCTTATTTTCATCCTACTTCTTCTTCTTCTTCTTCTTCTTCATCCTCATCCTCATCCTCTTCTTCTTCTTCTGAGGATGAGGATGAGGATTAGAAGAAGAAGAAGAAGTAGGATGAAAATAAGAATTCCAAACCGGCAAAAAGTGTATGTGCAGAGTTCCTCTATTTCTGACAGTTCTCTGACAGCTTCTTCACATGTACAGCGGTTGAAACATCTGTATCCTAAATGGAAACTAATAGATACAATGTTTCAACCGCTGTACATGTGTTCCTTCTGTCAGAGAACTGTCAGAAATAGCGGAGCTCTCTGCAGGGACACTTTTGCCGGCTGATCGGGAAAAATCCGATTCGCGCACCCAAAGTAGGCAAATATTCGGATTCAACGCGAATCATTTTTCCTGAAATTCGTATCGAATTCCGGTTCGCCTGGTTCGATTCGCTCATCTCTAGTGTTAACCTAGCCTGAAGGTTATCTCCACAAGGATACCTACTAGTTGGCTCAATTTCTAGTTTTGAAATGATAAAACACATGTAAAATAGATATCAGAAGACATTTGTAAGCTATATAAAAGCACAATAAATTGTTAGGCAATAAAACTAAACTCCAGGCAACCAGATAGATACAAAAATAAAATACATATATGTTCATTCTTTTACCAGACAAAGGATTTGTTCTTTTATCCATCCAATCCTGAGATTTATACAGCTCTGAAACACAACACAGTCCTGTCTGGCTATGCAGGACATCTGATTTTCCTGCAGTTAACTAATACATACAGTACATACAATATCTAATTGCCTTCTGGAGGATCAAAAAGGAATTATTTCCTCCACTGGAGGAAATTGGACCATGCCTCACAAGGTTTTTCTCCCCTCTGGATCAACTGTGGGCAGGGGCGGACTGACCATTTGGAAACTCGGGCACTGACCGAGGGCCCGGGGTCAGTAGGGGGCCCCATGAGATGCCCCTGGCACCTTTTTCATAGTCTTTTTTGAGTTTGGGCAAGGACACAGGGGCCCCATGATCCCCTATTGCCCGGGGGCCCCATGAGTTGTCAGTCCGCCCCCGACTGTGGGTATAGGATCGTGTATATGGAGATTTGTCTATTTATGTATTTTTTCTGTTAGGTAAACTAGATGGATTTGTGACTTTTTTTTATCTTAACTATGTAGCACAGGTCTTGTCCCTCAGCCTGTGATTGGACAGGGAAAGGAGAAGCAGCAGACTGAGTTCATCTCTCTGTCACTCTGCTCTCTCCTCCGACCAGCATGATTCTTGTTAGCACATGAACATTGCAGCACGAATGATTGGCTCCTTGTGTTGCTTCTCCCTCCACCAGTCTGAGCTCTACTGTACATGGGCTGCAAGAGGCAGATACCAAGACAGATCCGGGTACTTACACCACTTGCATTTGCAGAAAAAAAATATTTAAAAAAAAAATTAAAAAATCTAAAAAAAAAAAAAAAATAAAACTGCCATAATTTTTGAATTTCTTATCTGCCTGGAGTTTAGCTTTAAAAACAATTATTGGCACTAGTAATAGATTGCCTCACATCAAGGGGTACTCGTACTTGCACTGAAGAATGAATTTTCCATTAGGATGTCTGTCATCCTCAAGATAGTACTTACTAAAAAGAAACTGCAGACAGTCACCGACTTCCCTGCATTATTTCAGGGAAAAGAAGACTGTTGATTGTTGTGGCGCCGTATCATTACCTCTGGGAGGTCTGGCCAGTGATAGATTTTCCATACACACATAACTAAAACAAATTAAAAGTAGATTTAAACCCAATCTTTAAAATCTAATACTTTAACATGATCATGTAATTTCAAAAATCATTTTTCAATCCATTTATACTTGCAGCCAGGCCTGGGACAAGGGGTGGGCAGGAGGGTAGCTGCCTTGGGCACAGGGGCAGAGAATGGACACAGGACAGTAAACCTAGTCTATGCTAGTGGGGAGGGGGCGCAGTTCCACTTCCTTGCCCTTGGTGATAGATGAACCTGTCCCAGTACTACCTGCAGCCAGGGGCGGACTGACAACTCATGGGGCCCCCCTTGCCCAATAGGGGATCATGGGGCCCCTGTGTCCTTGCCCAAACTCAAAAAAGCCTATGAAAAAGGTACCAGGGGTATCTCATGGGGCCCCCTATTGACCCCGGGCCCTCGGTCAGTGCCCGAGTTTCCAAATGGTCAGTCCGCCCCTCCTGCAGCATTTATTAAAATAATACCTGGTGACCCTTCTATGAGGTCCTTGTTCAGGTATTTCCTGTTTAGTTTAGAGACCAAAAATCATCCAATGGGGACAAATGTCAAAGAAGAGATTCCCTTACTTTGGAGAGATCACTTTCCACTACATGTTGTGCCTTCAAGCAGAGCTTTCACCTCCCCAAAAATTTGTGCTTCAGTATTTATAATAAGTGCATCATGCAGTTTTCTTAGTGCCTCTGCAAAGTCCTACAAGTACCTGTTGATCCTGCCAGGGAAGTCCCCCATTGCAGCTTCCTGGGATGGTGCTGCAATAATGCTGCACTGCTCATCAGTTCAGTGCAAGGGTGGACTGACAACTCATGGGGCCCCCGGGCAATAGGGGATCATGGGGCCCCTGTGTCCTTGCCCACACTCAAATCACACCCAAAAAAGCCTATGAAAGGTACCAGGGACATCTCATGGGGCCCCCTACTGACCCCGGGCCCTCGGGCAGTGCCCGAGTTCCCCAATGGTCAGTCCGCCCCTGGTTCTTGCTTATACTAGAGTGAGATGAAACAATGTTGCAGGAGGTGCGTGTTGGCGGCACAGGGGGAATTACATGTCATCCAACAAAGTTTTCTGTTTACTCACCTAATGTGTGAGATAATACCCCCTCACACCTGAAGGAACATGTCCACTTCCCACTAGGGACACCTGTCCCGACACTGACCACAGAGACATTTAGTTGGAAAACAAAACCGAACACTGATTAACCTTCACCACATCTTACAAATACAGTACCCTGTACTTGATTCAGTCTGAAGGCATGGAGGGAAGCCACTGAATGCTTTGCGAGGCTCCACACATTTGGTCCAGGCCCGATCCCTTGAAGGCTCTGTTCTGCAGCAGGCCCTAGTATAGGTTCCCGACTGCTGAAGAGGGTAGGTCAACTGGGAATAAAGCCACCACTCTAAAATAAACCCCTTCACTTGCCACCACCGCTCCATCTCCCAAAGTGGCTGCTCTTCCTTCTTTGCAGATATTACACTCACTTGACTAACACCATGATTAGACACGTCATTCTCCATAAGCATTCACTGTAAAAGCACATATATGATTTCGTCATATCCACATATGTGATTCCATCATATCCACTTGAGCTCCTGAAGATTTTACCGCCTTCATGACCAGGCCATTTTTTGCTATTTAGCACTGCGCTACTTTAACTGGTAATTGCGCAGTCATGCACTGTTGTACACAAACAGAATTTATATAATTTTTTCACACAAATTGAGCTTTCTATTGGTGGTATTTGATCACCACTGGGTTTTTTTATTTTTTGCTATATACGCGTTATCTAAAAGGCAGACTTGATCAACCTCAAGGCACCCCAGGGTGCCTGTACAAGGCATCCTGTTGCAGTAAATGTACTGAGGCAAGTCATAGAGGTGATATAGTGACCAGACCAGACTTTGCCGAATAGCAGATCTTACTGTATTTACTGTATTTAGTTCTTGACACTTAGGTGACAGGTTCCATACAGTTCAATAATGCACCATTTGAGATATATATTTAAGGAATTTTAGCAATACTCCTATCATTGTAATGGTTAAACACACTTTAACGAAATACTGTATGAGCTGTGGCAGTGACATACTGTACCTATAGCTTTAATATGTCCCAAGTGAATGCTAATCAGTCTTTCTATTTTCCATACTTGGGTCCCAACATTTTGGATGGTTACTCTCTGTTCAGCATCAACTACATCATCACATGTGTGGCCTTCTTCCTGCTCCCCATGGAAAGAGCCCTGCAAAAAAACAGCTTCCCCTCCCTATATACCCTGTAACAGGAAGTGACACAACCTGAGCCTGATACACCGACAATCATTTAGACCCCGCCTACTTATGTCAATCAGCATACTCACTGCTGATTAACAAGCTTGTTGCTGTCCACTCCTAGTCCTGCCCACTGCTTTCTTGATAGGCAGCATTGTTGCTGAAACCCTACTACTGTGATCTGCAGTGTCTTGGAGGGGAAGCATGTGAGACACAAATAAACAAGGAGTTGGCTCGATTAGGGATGGTAAAAGAAGTGCAGAACGCCCTGTGACTTTGCGCGGCGTCAGACCCCAGCCTTCTCACTAACTCGTGCACAAAGGACCAGCCGATCTAACACCACGCTGTCACTTGCGTAACAATGCCACTCTCAACTGCGCCCTGCACAAAGATTTTCCAGCTCGCGGGACTACAATCTATGTGCCAGCAGCCTGAGAGCGATTGTTACTTTGTCAGGTTAATTATGCAATTAACCCTTCACACTGCCACCACCACCTCTTTACAGAGAAGGAGGAAACTCACAAATCTTAGCAGTAACACTATGATATTAGTATAAGCGTCTGTAACACACTGTCACCACAGACTGATGTATTCAGAGGACTATTACATACCGTAGCACTCTTCAGAGACAGGGATTCTTTAGTTTGCATTAAAAGCTTTAGAGACAGTTCAACACTTTTCAGAAAATAAGATTTATTACTAAAAAGGTCAAAATGGTGCAATTAAAATATTTACAGAAAAAGATGTAACAAAGATAGAAAGAGAGTGATAAAACAACAGAGAAATAAAAAAAAGAGGTTCAGAAGGCATATTACTTACAAAAGTCCTTGGTTTGAGCAGAGTCCAATTGTCTGAACAAAAGGCTGCTTTGGCTCTCAAGTGTCGTAGATGGTTCCTGATCAATGTTAAAAGGAGAGCTTTTTTTCTCCAGGCTGTCAGTCTTTTTCTGTCATCTCAAAGGGGTGACTCCTGAGAACAAATGACCAATTATCCAGTTTGGGGATGGGTGTTAGGCGGTAGCCAAGGTTATGACCAAATCCCTTACAATTTCATACTAAGGTCAATAACCTTCAATAGGTACAGGTAGCATCCTAGCAACTGGCAGATTAATATTTAGAATTATATTCCAAATGCAAAGATATCAAACATAGCATATCCTTGCCACTCAGGATAAAAGAGATTGCTTTCTACTTTCTTGTACAGTAGGTGCTAACATAGTGATGTAAGGTCTCGTGTGACTCATATTAAAATGACCTATCCGAATATATACTTCATAGTAATGTGCCCAGTTCCTGCTGAAGTTTATGAATTTGTATGAAAAATAACACCTGTAGAATGTATGTTTTATGGCACACTCTAGCTCTAATGGCCTAACAGGTCATGACTGACTGAGTTATTGTTTTACGATCGGGCAGAGGAAAGTGGTTTTCAAGCAGACCCCCTGGAACCAGATTAATTAGTGGTTTACAGCCATGGAGCTCATCTAGCTGTGTTTTATTTAGGACAAGAGGCACTCCTGACCTCCATTCACTAACAGCCTCACATTCCATTCAAAAGGGAGGAGGGAGGACAGGAGAGACAACATGGCTGTGACCTAACAAGATGGCTATCATGTACAGCGTCCATGCCTCTATTGCGCACAATCGTCACACACCCCCCTGACCATTGGTATCAGAGAGGGCTGACATCTCACCTCTGGGTATGGATAGTTGGGCATGGTGGGTGTGGAGCGTTGCAGAAAAGATGGGCGCCTGTCACTTTTAGGCTCAAAAAAGAAAAATAGGAAGAGAAGGTTAGGACACCCTTGGAAAGTGGGCAAACATACTAACAAATTCCAAAAACAGGACAGCCAGGTGGATAGCAATATAGAACAGGGCCTTAGGCTTGCACCCTCCTCTTTGTACCCACATAGCAACAGCTGTCTGCCATAGCAGCAAAAGAAAAACTCACAGAACCATGCAGGGATTTCTTCTCATAACTCTATCCCCTCTCTCTTCACCCCTTTTCTCAGGTCTCTAGACGACTATCAGGATCTCCTTGCAGAACCCCGAGCACATGGCTAGGCCTTAGGCTTCAGGCCTTCCCTGAGCAGCTGTTCCTCACACATCCACAACAGACCAAGATCTGGATGAGAGGGCTCAGATAACCTGACCTCCCCAGATATGAATATGCTTTCCCAGCATGCATCAATGGCCAAAGGAAACTCCTACTGATTGGTTAAGAGAAGTATGCATATTCATAATCCAGCTTTAATGTAGCTTGTCATACTAATGACAAAGGTAAGGGGGCTACAGAAATTTTCTGTTTACTTTATTATTATTATACAGAATTTATATTGCGCCAATAGTTGCTCAGCGCTTTACAATATAACGGGAGACAATACAGCAACAATACAGTTCAATACAAGAGGGTTAGGAGGGCCCTGCTCCTTGGAGCTTAAATCTAGGATAAGGCTTATGCATCACATAGTAACAGAATTTGGGGCTTCTTAAGAATAGGATAAAGGGGCCTTTAGTAGCATTTTAAAGCAACTTTGTAAAATGTGAAGGCACTCTATGAGTTCAGTCCAACAAGGTGCTTACCACCTCCTAGAATTATCTCTATTATTTATATCTGACAGGTTTATAAGCCCACATGTGGCAGGCAGCTATAAGGGCTTAACTCATGGTGTGCCTGCACTTTTTGCAAAGTTACATTAAGGAAAATCTCCCCAATAGGACAGTAAAAATACATACCAGTGGTTTTAATTATTAATTATCTAATACAAAAAGAAAGTTTGGGCTTTAGATACACTATTTTGCCAAAAGTATTGGGACGCCTGCCTTTACATGCACATGAACTTTAATGACACTCCTGTCTTAGTCCGTAGGGTTCAATATTGAGATGGTCCACGCTTTGCAGCTATAACAGCTTCAACTTTTCTGGGAAGGCTGTCCACAAAGTTTAGAAGTGTGTCTATGGGAATGTTTGACCAATCTTCCAGAAGTGCATTTGTGAGGTCAGGCACTGATGTTGGACGAGAAGGCCTGGCTCACAGTCTCCGCTCTAATTTATTCCAAAGGTGTTCTATCAGGTTGAGGTCAGAACTCTATGCAGGCCAGTCAAGTTCCTCCACCCCAAACTCGCTCATCCATGTCTTTATGGACATTGCTTTGTGCACTGGTGAGCAGTCATGTTGGAACAGGAAGAGGCCGTCCCCAAACAGT